AAAAAAAAAGCAGGGAGGGAATGGGTGATGAAGGGTCTTTTTTCATTTTTTTTTTCTGCTGTAAACCAAATATTAATCTTAAATTAGCAGAAAAATATTTGAGAGTGAAGACAAGCATTAGTGCTGGCTGAATCCAAATTTGGCCTGGAAAAGATATGAATGTGTTTATTACAGCACATCCTTCCAGCACAGCAGAATTTTCAAATGGTCAGAGAATTAGTGTCTTGCTTTTATTTCCTCCCTTCATTTTCTACTTGTTCTTTAAGACAGTTTAACATTCCTTCCTCCTCCTCTTCTCTTTCAGCACAATCTCTCATTGCTTCTCCCACTTTTTCTTTCTAGTTTTGAAAGACTGCTCCTTTATCCTACTGCTCCTGGAAAACCTCTGCTTCTGAGAAACTGTGAATTATTATAATTAGTTTAGAACTAATGTTCTTTATTAAGATGAGTTTATATGTACTATTTAAGCTAGTGATAGAAGGAAACCGGGGTAATTATTATTCTTGTAGATGGGAATGAGAAAGAGTGGGTGAAGTATGACAAGATATAAATACTACAGGCAAAGAAAACACGTGAATCACTTACTGGGAGTAGTGACTGGAAATGGAGGCAGAAGGAACAGGTAGTCTGTGGCTAAACTATGAAGCACCATGTTAAGGAATGTTAATGTTGCATAAACATTAAACAAAGAAGTAAAACAAATATCTTGCTTCTGTGCTCCCATGACTTTTTAAAAAAGGTTTAAATAAATCAGCACAAGTAAGATTTGAAGGAACATGGTTACTTATAGATTATTTATAAATTTATTTATAAAGTTACTTTAACCACCTTGGTAGAAAAATTTATTTCAGCAGTCTCTGAGTGTCTCCCTTCTGTAAAACTCTGTACTTGGTAGCCATTGTGTGGGTCACAGGAGTGTTGAGACATGGTTTCCGAAATGCATTAGTTGATTAGTGGGATAGACAGGCATGAAAATAACTAACAGTAAGCAAAATAGGAGGAAACAAAGTGAAATGTTGTACTCAGTAGGAGTATGCCAGTGATTAAGGAGACTAATCTATTGATTTGTTTTTTTTAATGGCAAGACTTCTCCTTGTAACATTTTTGTGTTGGTTCTGGTAATGAGATACACTTAGAGATGAACTAGCTATATATCTTTCCCACTGAACATACTGCTATTTGCAACTCATTTTCAACAGATCACTTCAATCATCTGTTGAGTACCTGCTATATATGATGCAGCAAGGATAGAAATGATCATGATGGTAGTGATAGTTAACACATATTCAGCATTTCCTATGTGCCAGTCATTGTGTCTAAGCACTTTGTATGCATTAGACTGTAATCCTCACAACCCTGTAATCTAGATTATCATTACCTCCATTTCACATTTGAGGAAACAGTATAGATAAATTTAAGTAATCTGCCAAGATTATACAATAGTAAATAGGAAAAGGAAGCATTCAAACCTAAGGACTTCGCCTTTGTCAATATAGCATACTGGATATTCTGGAACACCACTCCCCCAATCACCCCCACCATCACTAAAACACTAAAAAGGTAGGATAAAATATAAATATTTTATTAAATGCATAATTAAGCCCAAGAAAGTAAGGTAAATTTTAAGGGTGAAAAAAATGAGAAGAGGCAGGAACCTAAGGTGGTAATCTGGTGCTGTAAAGTTGCAGCTAACCTGAAAACATCTAGCAATACTTGGAACCAAGAAGCTATTTGATACTGGGTAAGGAGATGGAAATTTGTAAATATACTATATTCATAAATTCAAGAAACAATTTCTGTCTGGGCACAGTGGCTCACACCTGTAATCCTAGCACTTTGAGAGACCGAGGTGGGCAGATCACCTGAGGTCAGGAGTTCGAGACCAGCCTGACCAACATGGAGAAACCCCATCTGTACTAACAATACAAAATTAGCCAGGCATGGTGATACATGCCTGTAATCCCAGCTACTCGGGAGACTGAGGCAGAAGAGTCTCTTGAACCCGGGAGGCAGAGGTTGTGGTGAGCCGAGATCACGCCATGGCACACCAGCCTGGGCAACAAGAGGTGAAACTCCATCTCAAAAAAAAAAAAAAAAAAGAAAAAGAAAAAAGAAACAATTTCTAATTCACAGTAACTTTCTTGCCTGGATTATTAGCTTCTTAATGGTCTCTCTGCTTTCACCTTTGCTTCTTTGCATTCTATTATCAACACAGTTGCCAGAGTAACCCTTTAGAAACAATCTAAATCACATCATGCCTCTGCTCCAAACCCTCTAATTTCTTCTCGTTTTACTCAGAGGCACTTTTCTAGATTAACTCCATGATTGTATACCTCAATTCCCTCATGTCTTTACATAAATGTCACTTTCTCAGTGAGGCCTATCCTGATAACCCTATTTAAAATCTTATTTATCACTACTCTCTAGCATTCTTACTTCCCCTTCCCTGTGTGCGTGCGTGCGCGCGCGTTTGTGTGTGTGTGTGTGTGTGTGTGTGTGTGTGAGAGACAACTTATTTTCTGTGTCTTGCGAGAAGTGGCAACATGAAGGCAAGAAGTTTTCATTTGTTCACTGGTATATTCCATTCTCCTAGACTGTGCCTGGTACATAATCAGTGCTTAATAATGAATGGAAGAAATTAATGAAATAATATAACAAAAATCTAGTACAGAAGATTAATAAAGCCAAAAGTTGTTTTTTGAAAACAGTAATAACTAGACTTCACTCTCCAGTGTTTTCTAATTCCAGAACCCATCCCTTTTACCACCAGATAGTGCACAGCTTCCTTCTGCCTCACAAGTCCTCCTGAGTGGACAGTAGAGTCAGACTGCCTGGGACTTAATAGCTCTGTGACTTTGAGTATATTGTTTTACTTCTCTCTGCCACTTTATGGTTAAAGTGTCTTTAACCATAAAAAAGTGCCATAATAGTATCCACCCATAGAATTGTTTTGAGGATTAAATGTGATAGCACATGTAAAGTGCTTAAGCAGCCTTCAATAAATGCTCATGACTCCTGCTGACTTTTTTGTTGTTATGGTAATTTGTCCTCTTCCTCTTCCTCTTGTGAAGCTGACCACAGTTCCCCACAAAGTGCTATGAATATGGTAAAACCTAATCAGAAGCGCTGTAAGTGGACATACTTGTTGTCTGGCACAAGAATCAGCACTCAAACCAACTGTCCAGTTAACTCTTATCCACTCTATGATGAATTTTTATAGTAATGACAGATCAATAATGGGAGAGGTTCAGTTGTGTAAGAATGAACATGATTTGTATATTGCTCTTAGGTCAAGAGAACTTTGGGATAACTCTCCAGTGGCTCCATAAGAACAACCCTACTACCCTTCCCCATCCTCCCTGTGCACCCGCTCCACACAGACACTCATAGACACACATACACCACTCTACTTTCCAGGCTCTGTCTCTCCACTGAAAGACCATATGCTGATTACTTAAACTGAAAACAAAATATCTAACTCCCGAAAGGTATCATGGCCAATATACTATTTAGAAGTGGGCCATCACTAAACATTTGACACTTTGGGGCAAAAGGAATCTGAAAGGTGTAGTCATGCCTGCTATCTATCCTTCCTGTTCTCATCAACAGAATTGCAACTTCAAATGCTTAAAGAAGCCAGAAAAGTAATGTAAATGGCTAAAGTGGAAATTGTACAGAACTAGAAAATGCCTGTTCCGTGTTTAAAGAACACATCTGCTATTTAGTTTCAGTCATTTGTTGTCAGGCAAAAAAAAAAAAATGTGCACATAGTGTTGCCAGGTTTTTTGCTTTTTATAAGAAGGGGCCAGGTGCAGTGGCTCATGCCTGTAATCCCAGCATTTTGGGAGGCTGGGGTGGGTGGATCACTTGAAGTCAGGAGTTTGAGACCAGCCTGGCCAACATGGTGAAACCCTGTCTCTAATAAAAATACAAAAATTAGCTGGGCATGGTGGTGGTGGCAGGCATCTGTAATACCAGCTACTCAGGAGGCTGAGGCAGGAGAATCGCTTGAACCTGGGAGGCGGAGGTTGCAGTGAGCTGAGATTGTGTCACTACACGCCAGAGTGAGACTCTTGTCTAAAAAAAAAAAAAAAAAAAAGGGCAGAAATCTTCTTTTTAAAAATTTCCCTATTATTATTAATAAAACTAAAAGCAAAATGACTACAGGCTACCAGTAGCTTGGACTTCCGTGTTTATCTGTCCAGAAAACATTGAGAATTGCATAATTTTAATTTGAAAGATAAGTGCAGCTAAAAATATAAATTCAAGAGGCTTCTACAGAGAGACGATTACAGAGCTCTGTTGGAAGAAGAGAGAAGAAAAAAGAATAGAGGTTTTAGAGAAACTTGGGAAAAAAATCTAGGGAACAACAAAAGGAAGAAAAGCTAAAGAATGAGACAGCCCAAGAAAAATCACATGAAGATTAGATTAGGTGAAGTAGCAGAACCTATTTTGGAATAGAAGTTAAAGTTGCTAATTTGAGCAATCTTTAGTACATTATGTAGTGCCATTAAAAATCAACTGATCAGCCGGGTGTGGTGGCTCATGCCTGTAATCGCAGTCCTTTAGGAGGCCAAGGCTGATGGATCACGAGGTCAGGAGTTTAAGACTAGCTTGACCATGGTGAAACCCTGTCTCTACTAAAGATAAAAAAAATTAGCTGGGTGTGGTGGCGTGCGCCTGTAATCCCAGCTGCTTGGGAGGCTGAGGCAGGAGAATCGCTTGAACCCAGGAGGCGGAGGTTGCAGTGAGCCAAGATCTCAACAGTGCACTCCAGCCTGGGTGACAGAGTGAGACTCCATCTCAAAAAATAAATCAACTGATTATTTATTTTCAAGAAAACACTGAGAAAGGGAACATAATTATGATTGAGCCAAGCTCTAATTTATTCTAAAGGAGCATGGAATTTCTCCTGCTCTATTTCTGTTGGCCCCTCCAAGTAAATTTTCTTTTTTAGAAGATTGTGAACCTCCAACAGACAGATAAAGGGATAAGGAACAATGCCCTCTCCTCTAATTCTGAATCAGAAGGAGGTGAAGGCAAAGGTAGTACTGAAGGAGGAGGCATCCCATCTCCCCAGTCATGCTGGAAGACTGGGGGCAAGGCTACAGAGGTTGTCCTGTGTGAGTCTGTTTCCTTTCTGATTCTGCCTCGACCTTAGTTCCCCAATCATCTTGTATCCTATTACAAGAGGATTTCAGGACCATCAATTAATTCCTGACATACACATTTAAAAATAAAATTTTCACAACAGAATAACTTAATAAAAACATGAAAATTTTATTGAAATTTTTCATCTTCCAGAATAAATGGCTTTCTTACAAAAATATACCTCTTCTTACTTTGCTATCACCATGTATAGAATATAGTATAAAATGTTCATTCCCACTAAATTGAAAAAGGAACTTGCAAGCTTTAATGTCTACTGTGATTTTTCTCAGAACCAGTAAGATATCTGCTGTTTCTGCCTACTGTCTTATGTATTGTAAAACTAGAAGTAAAAAGTGAAGTATATAGATCTAGACTTGAAAGGGTTTTATTCATGGGCAACATGAGAGTTGGAAGAAAATATTAGACAATATAGGTTTAAATTTTACTAATATTTTAAATTTTTCAAATAATACATTTAAAAGTTTGTGAGCCACTTAAGAGTATTGGCATCATGTTCAATGATGAGAAGTAATTACACTTTTTTTTGGAGACAAAATCTTGCTCTGTCCCCCAGGCTGGAGTACGGTGGTGTGACCTCAGCTCCCTGCACCTCTGCCTCCCGCGTTCAAGCGATTCTCCTGCCTCAGCCTCCTGAGTAGCTGGGACTACAGGCACCTACCACCATGCCCAGTTAATTTTTGTATTTTTAGTAGAGATGGGGTTTCACCATGTTGGCCATGCTGGTCTTGAACTCCTAACCTCAAGTGATCTGCCTTCTTCAGCCTCCCAAAGTGCTGGGATTACAGGCATGAGCCACCTGGCCATAATTATACTATTTGAATGTCTAGGTCCCAAAAATCTTTGGTTTATGGATTTACTGCCTTTGATTGTTTCCATGAAATGTTGAGAATATGTTTACATGATTGAATATTTAAGTTATTTTGTTAGGTTTTCCTTTCCCAGAATATTACTTTGAGCAATTGGCGAAAAGTAGCTAATTTTTTTTTTTTTTGAGACGGAGTTTCGCTCTTGTTACCCAGGCTGGAGTGTAATGACGCGTTCTCGGCTCACCACAACCTCCGCCTCCTGGGTTCAGGCAATTCTCCTGCCTCAGCCTCCTGAGTAGCTGGGATTACAGGCACGCGCCACCACGCCCAGCTAATTTTTTGTATTTTTAGTAGAGACGGGGTTTCACCATGTTGACCAGGATGGTCTCGATCTCTTGACCTCGTGATCCACCCGCCTCGGCCTCCCAAAGTGCTGGGATTACAGGCTTGAGCCACCGCGCCCGGCCGAGTAGCTAATTTTTTATTTAACCCAGAAAACACATGAGAGTCTAAGCAGAAAGTTAGAAATGGCACAAACTACAGTGCCTCCCATAGGACTTGAGCAGATAGGGACTCTTCTGAGTATTATAATACTCTTCTGAGTATTATATTATATAGTTAGTATGAGTATTTTGTGCATCCACAGCTCTGTGGCAAATGCTTGACTTCTCTTCTATTGGGCTCCAAGAACAGTGAAATTTGCAACTGTAGGATAAGGAGCAAGTAAGCCACCAAAACTATTGGAGGAAAATGCAGTTAAGAGTCAACTTCCAACTGAGAAAAGCAGTGGGAAGGCTAATTGGAATAGTAGGAATTCCAAATGCCAGTCTACTTTCCTTTTGTTTCTTTTACATATATTGACCATACATAAAAGTTTGTTTGTTTTTATTTTATTTTATTTTATTTTATTTTTTGAGACAGAGTTTCGCTCTTGTTACCCAGGCTGGAGTGCAATGGCGTGATCTCGGCTCACCGCAACCTCCGCCTCCTGGGTTCAGGCAATTCTCCTGCCTCAGCCTCCTGAGTAGCTGGAATTACAGGCATGCGCCACCATGCCCAGCTAATTTTTTTTTTTTTTTTTTTTTTTTTTTTTTTTTTTTTTGTATTTTTAGTAGAGACGGGGTTTCACCATGTTGACCAGTATGGTCTCGGTCTCTTGACCTCCTGATCCACCCGTCTCGGCCTCCCAAAGTACTGGGATTACAGGTGTGAGCCACCGCACCTGGCCCAAAATTTTATTTTTAAAAGCTAAAACCACATTTTTTAAAAGTATGAAACCCACTTCCATCTTTAAATGATCAGATTCAAAAACTAAGGTCCGAATTATTGACTCTTCATGTTATGATATCTAGCATAGAGCATTTCACAAAAAAGTTTGTCCAGTTGAATTGGTGATACAATTATTAAGTAGGATAGCCTAGGTCTCCTGATTTCAGATCATTTATTGCTCAATATGGGCTCTAATCCTTTGGCCTGGACCCATGCCTCTTAACTCTGCTGCACATTAGAATCACCTGGAGTGCTTTTAAAGCCAACAGATGCAAAGCCCCCATCAAAGAGCAGTTGAAAACAGAATCCCTGGGGCGGAAGCCATCAGGGTCTTAAAAATTCCAAAAGTATTCAAGGGTCTCAGAAACCCTAAGTGTCTGTCATTCACTTTTGTGTAAATGCTGAGGATGTCTAGTATAGCTTAATGACATACTTCACCAGTAGACACTGGTTGTAAAGATAGTACTCTCCAGGCTGGCATGGGGGAGTACTTGGAGGTTCTAGCCTCCAAAAAAATAACTTGGGGCCCTTTTTTTTTCTTCAGGTCTGTAAGTTTTTTTCCACACAGCAATAGATGGTAGAAATACTGGTACATAGTAAGTACTATGGATCTTAGCTAATATGGCCATTACTATGTAGATATTTGATGCCAGGTTGTAAAATCTAGATATGATCAATAGGGAGCTTTGGGGGGTTTTGTGGTTTTTTCTTTGTTTTGTTCATTTTTTTTAAGATGGAGTCATGCTCTGTTGCCCAGGCTGGAGTGCAGAGGCTCACTGCAACCTCTGCCTCCCAAGTTCAAGCAATCCTCCTACCTCAGCTTCCCTAGTAGCTGTAACTATAGGAGTGTGCCACCACACCCAGCTAATTTTTGTATTTTTTGTACAGATGGGTTTCACCATGTTGCCCAGGCTAATAGGGAGCTAATTTTAGGTGCTTGGGCAAGGGAAGCAATGTGAATTAAACAATCTCTTATTAACTTTGTAATGAAGCTTAAAAGAAGTATTGATTAGTGCAAGAGAAGATATGTTTAAGCACTGTATTAGAAGTTTCACAAAAACAGAACTGTATGGAGAAGTGCAAGCCAGGGGTTCAACACTAAATTACATATAGATATCTGCTGAAGTTATATAATTGTAAAACTTCTGTGATTTAGGATATTGTGTTACCATTAACAATTCATCTTCCTCACAATTCATCTTCCTTGTGGTAACAATCAAAATTTTACTGGCTTCATCCTGATCTTGTGAATTTTGTAGGAAATTTTCTAAAAATAACAAAAGTACAAATTCAAAGTTCTCAAGGTTAAAAAATTATGAAGAGGTCTGTTTTCACTCAAGCAAGCCCTAGAATACTTTTTCTGAAATGTCTGGCTACTGCTTGCATTTTTGCTGTTTTTCAAGTTAAGGTGATATTTGTATTTGTCTGGAATTTTTGTCTCATTACTAAGTAACTGATTTTTGAATTGCATATTTGATAACCTGACTCATTATGTTGTGTAAAGATCTGTGGTGTAACAAGGAGAGCCACGGAAAAACAGCACATTTGTGCTTTACTGTTTTTAAACACACAGTCTCACTCTGTCACCCAGGCTGAAGTGCAGTGGCATCATCATAGCTCACTGCAGCCTCAAACTCCTGGGCTCAAGGGATCCTACCACCTCAGTCTCTTGAGTAGCTGGGATCACAGGTGCGCACTACCATGCCCAGCCTATTTATTTATTTGTTTATTTTTAGAGACAGGTCTTGCTATGTTGCCCAGGCTTTTATTGTTTACAAAATCAAATTTATTTGTGTAACTGGGACAGATGGGGAGACTTGTAGAGGCTCTACTTGACCAAAGCTAAAATCTGTTCTCTTTTCCATCTGAGAAGGCTAACTGAAGCTGACATGACTTCTGGGAAGTGCCTTGCAGTTGATCCTCTGGGCATGCTCCATGCCAAAGTGTTATCATGAGAAATCAGTCCAACAGGAGTGCGATTTGAATCCTCTAGAAGGATTAAGGCAGGGGAAAAGTATCTGGACAGTATCCCCTTATTTAGAGTTAATAAACTTAAGTTTTTACAGCATAACGCTCTGTAGTTATGAGAAATGAGATGCTGTGTAACAATTAACAGTTACTCATTCTTCCTAAAAACAACTGTATTATCAGTTTCATTGGCTTCCTAGTGTTTTAAACCTTGTATGTGATATTAATTTTAGAATCACCATCCCATCCCCCAGCAGAGTGCTAAACACATCTTTGGAACTCTGAAAAATGTTCATAGTTATGATTTATCCCTAGGTACCAGCGTCGTGCCAAGAGCTTTCTGTCCTAACACAAATCTTACCTTATTTAATCATTCATTCAGGTCATTTAAATATTTTATCTGTCACCCTGTTTTTCTTGTTGGACTTGAAAAAAATGAGATTCTATATTCAAAAATGCCTTAGGAGTGCAAACTATGCTATAAAAAGGCAAAGGGAAAAAAAAAAAGGCAAAAGAGCACTCGTATCTCTGTGATTGGCTTGTATGTAATCTTAAAACCGCCATTGACTCCAGATCTTTTTGTTAAGCACTTGCCAAAGTCTTCTATAGGCAGTAAAAAGATTGAGGCATGCATCTCTGAGGCTGAATGTAAATAAAGTATAGATTTCTTTTTCCTTCTTCTTAAATTTGAAAAGCATACTTCTTGTGATCCAAGCCATTGATTAAAATGCCGATGGGGCAGAATTTTATAGCAGGCTGCTTGACACCTCCTTCTAGAATTGCTGCAGCCCGTGCAATCATTAGACATGGAAAATATGACAGGAAAAGTAATTTGGAATCAAATCACAGAATGTCTAGAATGTCATGTTAAGGAGTTTAGACTAATATTATTCTCTGGTCACTAAGGA